TTGTCCTCACTGTACAAAAACTTTTTCAGCCCGCTGGAGGAGACTCAGACCACATCGACTAGTATCAGTATGGGCATATCCAGCAGCAGCTTCTGGCTGCGACTGAGGCTTCGACGTTTATATCGTGGCAAGTGTTTATTTATGCTTGTGCCGACAGCGTTTCAGTTTCTATTTGGCGACGTTTAGCGGTCGGCTCTCTCGGAAATGATAAAATAACGGGTTACTACTAAACCATGACAGCGCTTGGATAATTAATTCAGTTTTCCTAACACAATATTTATACATTTTCCTAGAACTTGTTTTTGTCTCTTCCGTTGTGGCAGCTTTAAACGCGGTGTAATAGTTACCGTTGGGTTTCCTTCTATCCAATATTGATATAGGAGTTTATATTTTGATTTAGCTCTTGATTGATTTAGAATAAGGTGCTTTATAATACTGATTCTATTTGTAATTATTTTGTTATCACACTGCTGGAGACCGAAACATTGTTGGTAAGCTTTTTCCCATATTTATGTTTATTTTTGTTTTTATTAGAAGCACTTTTTCACAATAAACAGAAGATAACAGATGTAGAAAGTCTTTACAACAAAGTTAATTTACGAGTTCTCAGTAATTTATTCATTTCTTTTAGTTCGCAATTACTACTTCTCTTACTGAGAAGTATTAAGCATTTATAAATAAAAACACAGCAGCTTAATAAGCTGTTATTAAAAGGAATCTTGAATTGTTGATGCCGATTTTTGGTCTGATTTTTCTATCCTTTCAGAGCATTATGATTTCAGTTAGAAGTTTGCGCCGCAGTGATGGAGTCATCTCTGAACATATAAAGTATATATATTCTTGATCAGCACTAACAGCCGAGTCTGTCTGTCCGTTTCTACTCAAACTAGTCCCTCAGTTTTTAAGCTATCTGAATGAAACTTTGTAGTTAATCTGCTATATACTCTCACTCGTTTATATGTCGGAACGGGCCGTATCGGACGACTATTTTATAAACCTGCCATAGAAGTGATTCAAAAATTTGTATAAAAAAATATTACATTTTCACTTTTCAACAGAATTTTATCAAATTTGGGATATCCATTCTAATTAATTCCACAATTTGTTGTACAATTTTATGGAAATCAGACTACTATATCATATAGCTGTCATAGGAACGATGATACAAATCGGACGACTAGATTTTATATTGTATTAATTTCTTGTGAACGAAGTTCTATCTGCAAGCATATAAAAACTTCGGCGTGGCGAAGTTACCTTCCTTTCTTGCTTTTCTTGTTTTAAGATAGTATAGAAGTCGGGATGGGCCGGATCGGATCATATAGCTGCCAAAGGAAGGATTGAAAAATATTTTAACAATTGAGATATAGCCATTTTTAATTATTTTAAAATTTTGGTAATCTTCTATATATATAAAAATGAATTGCTGTTCGTTAGTCTCGCTAAAACTCGAGAATGGCTGAACGGATTTATCTTATCTTGGTCTTGAATTATTCGTGGAGGTCTAGGGAAGGTTTAAAAGGTGAGAAAAATTCGATTAATTGCCGGGAAAATCCTCAAAACAGTATTTTTCTATTTCCCATACAAACGTTTTTTTAAATAAAACTACCTTACATCTACCGCCCTCTACAGGCAGCCAAAGCATTTCCTGTCAAACATTCAAAACATATTGAAATAAGGAATTGGAGATAAAAATTTTATTTTTTTGTTCAGGTTCAGTAAGAAACGAAGTCCTGCCACCCAAGAAGTAGAGTTTGGGTCGTCGTAAGCGTAATACAGAAGCAAAAAGACGTAAGATTACGAATATAACTGACGAAGAACGGGCCTCCATCCGAGAGACTGAGCGGCTGAGAGCAATGCAGATGCACAAAGAAGAATCAGCAGAAAGACGAGCAGATAGGCTTGAGAGAAAACGATTAAGATCGATTTGATTCACTCTCAAAATAACGCGAAAGGGCAAGGGTAGCTGAAGCGCGTTTACAGCTTGCTGAAGATCAGATATAATCCAACTATTGATTACAGCTCGAATCGAATGTCGTTATTGGCCGGATGCATCAGGTCTGCCTCTTAGATTGAATCAGACGAAATTTCGGTCCGAGGAATATATCCATTTGCGGGATGCTGTGATGAATGCTGCAACTCTTTTGAAGGATGGCAAAACTGCTCATTCTACTTTTAAACTTCCACTATTCGTCAATCTTGAACAACAATCTACATGTTCAATACGCAAAAATGGACCTATTGGTAAATTACTACAAGAGGCATCATTGATTATGTGGGATATTGGGATTAAGGACAAATATGAGAGCTCATCTTCATGGAATCACTGATAGCGATTTCCCACAGCAACTGCTAAAACTTTGGGAAGGAATTTTTCCAACTCCAATTTTAAGCGGTCATTGTGACATTCTTCTGGATGAGTCTCTAGGCCAAATACTCCATAATTTGGAAAATTTAATAGATTCTGTATACCCTGATATCGAAAATTTGCACGAAAGAGACGTCCATTGGCTGTGTTCTCGGGCTATAGTATCACCTAAGAATGATACTGTCAATGAAATAAATAATCTGATTGTTCAAAAAGTCCCCGGCCAAACAAAAACATACAAATCGATCGACACTGTAACGAATATTGAAGATGCAGTCCATTATCCACAGGAATTTTTAAATTCGTTGAACCCTTCTGGACTGCCACCCCATGAATTGACGTTAAAAATCGGAATCCCAATCATGCTTTTAAGAAATTTAAACCCTCCAAGCATGTGTAATGGGAGGAGGCTGATTATTAAGGAGTTAAAGGACAATTTAATTGTAGCAACTATTATCACTGGCCCAGCAAGTGGTCAACTAGCTCATATACCGAGGATACCGATGATCCCAACTCATCTGTCAATCCCATTTAAACGGCTTCAATTTCCGGTAAAAACATCTTTCGCATTAACAATTAACAAGTCCCAAGGCCAAACCTTCGAATTAGTAGGGATCGATCTGCGACAGAAATGTTTTACTCATGGTCAACAGTATGTTGGTCTATCGCGAGTAGGAGCCCCTGAAAATCAATTTATTTTGCTTCCACAAAATAAAACAACATCAAATATTGATTACAGAGAAGCTCTAACAAAATAAATGTATTTTCTTTTAGGGTTATGACCTCAATAATTGAAAAAAAAAAAAATAATAATAAAGGATGAATATGTGTCATATTATTATTATTATTATGAATGTGTTAAAATTGACAAATCTAAATGTAATGTTTAATGCCCGTGCGAAGCCGGGACGGGCCGCTAGTAATTTTATAAAAATACGAGTACTATATCTTACAGCTGCTATTGAAAAATCATTAAATGTAGACGAAAATATGAAATGTGAACGCAAAACTGTAGCTGTAAAAATGCAATAAGTATAGGTAAATATGAAAATGCTAAAGAAAGCAATAATGGAAGCTATAGTTGTGGTGGACAAAATTAATTTTTTCTGATATATGAATATCCAGGATTGGTCAAAACCACAATTATTTTCACTGACAAACTTCTTTTAGTTATTATTTATGTTGTTGTTTACCGATTTCCATAAACTTTTTTAGCGAGTGATCTATTCAGAAATAACCAAAAAACGAAAACAAAAGATAACGGTTCATAGGACAATATTAAAAGCAAAAGAAAGAATGTCTTTTTATTTTGGATATAGCTTAATAAACTTAATTCAAACAAATTGAAAGTAATTTATTAAATACTAGCCGGCCCGTCCCTGCTTCGCACGGGAATTAAACATTACATTTAGATTAGTCAATTTTAACACATTCATAATAATAATAATAATAATAAAATGACATCTTCATCCTTTTTTTTTTCAATTATTGAGTTCATTACATTTATTTAGTTAGTGCTTCTCTGTAAACAATATTTGATGTTGTTTTATTTTGTGGCAGCAAAATAAATTGATTTTCAGGGGCTCCGACTCGCGATAGACTAACATACAGTTGACCATGAGTAAAACATTTATTTCGCAGATCGATCCCTACTAATTCGAAGGTTTGGCCTTGGGACTTGTTAATTGTTAATGCGAAAGATGTTTTTACCGGAAATTGAAGCCGTTTAAATGGGATTGGCAGATCAGTTGGGATCATCGGTATCCTCGGTATATGAGATAGTTGACCACTTGCTGGGCCAGTGATAATATTTGCTACTATTAAATTGTCCTTTAACTCCTTAATAAGCAGCCTCGTCCCATTACACATGCTCGGAGGGTTTAAATTTCTTAAAAGCATGATTGGGATTCCGATTTTTAACGTCAATTCATGGGGTGGCAGTCCAGAAGGGTTCAACGAATTTAAAAATTCCTGTGGATAATGGACTGCATCTTCAATATTCGTTACAGTGTCGATCGATTTGTATGTTTTTGTTTGGCCGGGGACTTTTTGAACAATCAGATTATTTATTTCATTGACAGTATCATTCTTAGGTGATACTATAGCCCGAGAACACAGCCAATGGAAGTCTCTTTCGTGCAAATTCTCGATATCAGGGTATACAGAATCTATTAAATTTTCCAAATTATCGAGTATTTGGCCTAGAGACTCATCCAGAAGAATGTCACAATGACCGCTTAAATTTGGAGTTGGAAAAATTCCTTCCCAAAGTTTTAGCAGTTGCTGTGGGAAATCGCTATCAGTGATTCCATGAAGATGAGCTCTCATATTTGTCCTTAATTTTAACGTTTCAATCGTAGTCCATATGGGAGACGATTTCAAGCATGCCTTGATGATATCTGCTCGCGTGCCTCTGTTAATAACGGGTAGAGTCTGTCGAAAATCTCCAGCAAATACAAAAGTAATCCCGCCCATGACTGCAGAGGAGTTCCTTAGATCCTGTAAGGTTCTGTTCACGGCCTCTATATGTGCTCTATGGCTCATCGTGCATTCGTCCCACATAATCAATGAGGCGTCTTGTAGTAATTTACCAATTGGTCCATTTTTGCGGATTGAACATGTAGATTGTTGTTCAAGATTGACGGATAGTAGTCTGTAGTTCGTTAATTAAATTTATTTTCAGCGTTGGAGCTATGTTTGACCTCAATGATAGCTGATCTGCTTCTGAAATGAAATATACCTGCAAGTATTGTGGATTTTGGCCTGGTGGTGGTAAAAGGCTACCAATAAGATGATATACTTGTCCCTCTATTTTAAAAGTTGGCATAAAATTACCATTACCAATTGAAATAGGCTATTGTACTTACGGATGTTGGTTATGAAATGTCTAGATAGCGAATGATTATTTTTCAAAAGATTTTTTATTGGCTGTGGTGGTTCCTGAATACTTGGGAGACTAACTTTTCCAGAAGCACAGCACATTCCATTTGTTTCATCGACCCATTTTTTTGCTGAACACTTAGGGCATATCTTATTCATATCGCCGATTTGTATTGAAGACTGATGAGCATAATCAATCTGTGGATCGTATCTAAAAGCCGATCTTTTACTGTGGGCTGAAGCTTGATTGCGACTTCTCGCTCTTAACGTCTTTTGTCGTTCTCTATTATCTTGAAGGCGTTGGAAACGCTCAGAGCTTGATTCCCTATTGCGAGATTGAATATTTCTGATATTTTGTTCTTCAACCCGCTGCAAACGCTGATTACTTGACTCTTGCGCGCGTACCTGCGAGGTTCTCAAATTTTGTTGAGCTATACGCTGTAAACGCTCAAGACTTGACTCTCGCTCGCGGACTCGAGAAGTCCTCACATTTTGTTCAGCGAGCCGTTGAGAACGCTGCAAACTGGATTCTCTCGCTCGTATTTGAGCGGTTCTCATATTTTGTTCAGCGAGCCTTTGCGAACGCTCGGTACTCGACTCTCTAGCACGCGATTGTGCCACATATTGTCTATGAATTGAAAGACGATTTTCAGTTTCTGATGAAGATTCTTCATTTCGACGTATTTTTGATGCCCTGGCCTGGGTACTATTTCTAGAAAGTTGATATCTTGATCTTTTTGGCATTTCAAAATGAGCTCAGCCGCTCAGTCTCTCGGATGGAGGCCCGTTCTTCGTCAGTTATATTCGTAATCTTACGTCTTTTTGCTTCTGTATTACGCTCACGACGACCCAAACTCTACTTCTTGGGTGGCAGGACTTCGTTTCTTACTGAACCTGAACAAAAAAATAAAATTTTTATCTCCAATTCCTTATTTCAATATGTTTTGAATGTTTGACAGGAAATGCTTTGGCTGCCTGTAGAGGGCGGTAGATGTAAGGTAGTTTTTTGTTTTTTTTTTTTTTAACACCTTGGATTACGTTATCTTAATTTTAGTAAGGATGCCTATTTTTTTTTTAAATGAAATATAGCCTATGACACTCAGGAATGATGTAGCTTTCCAACAGTGAAAGAATTTTTCAAATCTGCCAAGTACTTTCGGAGCCTATTCAATTCATACAAACAAACAAACAAACTTACATTACCTCTTTATATAATAGTATAGATTAAATTTTAATAGCATTAAACTTAAGACGAAAACAAATTATGTGTAAATATTACACTGTAGATGCATCTATTCTTTTACTTATAGCATTTTTCTATGAACCGTTGACTTTCGGATTCCTTTTTGGCTTGCTTCTGCATAGATCAATCTACGCGATAAAGATGTCAGTGTATTTCTGTCAGTCTGACTTTGAAAATAGTCTTCTTTATATTGCAGGAAGTTTTAGTCTCGAAACGGGCTTAATCGGACCTCTGTTTTTTATATATGTCATATAAATAATTGGAACAAATTTCGCAACATTTTTCCTACTCAGCAATGCACTATGGTCCAGAAGTTTATTTATTTTTTTTGCATAAATCCGAAATTTTCATGGCGGCAAATTGCTCTTTTTACTTTTTTGCGTGAAAATAATTCTGTTTAATGTTCAATTTATGTGTAATTTTTATAGAAAATTAACATGCGTCCCTTGTGTTTCGTGGAATAAAACTAACGACCTGACGGCTGCTGACAAAAACTAATTATGTCAGTTTATACAATATTTAGCGACGTTCGAATTTCGCGATAGAGATCTCTTCGATATTTGGCTCAACAATAATCGCAAAATATCATCTGTGTTAGGTTGCATTTATGAAAAAATTAGCCATTACCACATAGGAGATGAAAAAAATTAGAAATCAATAAAAAGCAAGTAATTTTGAATAATTTATAAAAAAAAGACTATCAAAATGCAAAAGTATGGTCAAACGTTTTATGACAATGCATACTGAATTGGAATCTACAATATCAGTTACAAGAAATGAAAACTGTAAGACACAACAAAAAATGGGACGCCGATCTTTGTCTTATGGAAACGCAGGACCACGATTGAAAAGAAAGTTGGCATCTGAGCTGGCGAATGAAAAAGAGCACAACACAACTCTTCTTATGCATGGTGCAGCCGTTTCTGCTAAGAAGTAACACAAACGTGGCCTTGGCCCTTAAAGAAATTATTACAACATCTGCTCAATACCCAACAGAATTAAAAAAGTAACTTCAAATCCAAAAACCGACTCCACTCACACCAAATGAAGCCTAGCCTACATCCTGGAAAATTCTTTAACAAAACAGCAATATGTAAACACTAGGGTTTTGAATATACAATGTGCATACAAGCAGAAGTTTGAAGTAAAAACACCTGACGTTCAAATCTCAGATCAGCCTTTGTTTGTAACTTCTGTTATACCCATAAAAATGATTGACTCATTTCAACGAAATATCTGGGTTAACAGAACACCTCACTCTATTCGATTTTGCAGGCCGCTGAAAATTCAATTTGTTAAAGAAACTTCTGATCATATACGTCAACCGAGAACAACATCCCATTTGAAAAGGAATTGCAATCTGATTGTGATTCGGATGAGGACTTGAACGAAGCCAGCTTAATAATACTAGAAGAAGAAGAATATAATGTTTAAGACAGAACCCATACATAACATATACATACTTATATATAGAGATTTAAATTGTTCCTGTAATAAATGTAAGTATATTGTCTGAATTCAGCGTCATACTCAATTTCTAATGATAATACTACGAATCGGTTTGTATGGAAGGCAATAGAGGGCGTGGTCGCACAGACTCAAAATTTTTTTTTTTATATTATTGTCTTTCTAAAAAAAAAAAGAATGTGCAACTTTTTAGGTCTCTAGCTCTATTTTTAGAATTTATGCCAAAAGGATTGACTTCTGGACCATAGTGCAATGATAAGATTACTTTCTGTAAATCGATTTACTGACTGGTAAATGTGCTTTTACTTATCAATTATATGCCATATAAAAGATACACAAGAAAGAAAGCTAGCTTTGACACGCCGAAGTTTGTATGCCCTTGAAGATTGCAATTCAATCATTAATAATTAATATAATATAAATTCAAAACATCAAAGTAATGCATACCTTAGCTACATTTACCGATAATATATACATTTACCAATAACTATTGTTTAGATTAGGTTAAACTGGAAGGCTCTCGTGGGGGCCACGCAGAGGCCAATATAGCCCTTACTTGTCCGGATGTTCTTGTTTGGTCCTGGAGATTTTACGCGGTTTTGAAGTCCTTCAAGATCAAGGTGTTTTAGCGAGAGCAAGTAGTTATCCTGGTGTCCTTTTGGAGGCATCTTCTAGTGATGCCAGTACAGGGGCACCTGCAAATGAAGGACTTCCTAGAGTTGCCATTGTCGGTTATGCATTGCTTGACTGCATGTGCCGGTGCCTGGCAGTGCCCGTGAGAATTCCCACTAGCGTTTTAGAGCCACTCCGTGGTAGAAGCAACACGTAGTGGCTCAGTTTGTCATTGCGCTCTTTGCACATGATCTAAATATTTTGCAGGTTGTCCACCTGCTTCTTGCTAGTATATCAGCCCGTCTCTATAGCTCAGTTTCGAGCGTTCTTAAGGGGACGGGAAAGTTTTCCGTTCTGTTGGTCGTTAGTATGTCGTTTTTCTGTGCAAGCACGTTTGCGGTCTCGTTACCATGCCCTTGGGGTGGGAACCCAATAGATCCGCACTGACGTTGTCGTGCTTAGGACATCTAGAGCTTCCCTGCTTGCCAGAACATTTTTAGAACCGGCCGCTGACAATTGCATGGATCAAATCGCCGCTTGGCTGTCTAGGAACAGCCTCCTCACGTGAACGCTCTCTTCCCTGGGCAAGCTCAGCCGCGTTCCTATTGGCGACATTAATGGCTGCATTGGCTTGATAGCTCATACGACAACCTTATGTCAGGGTCTGTGCAGTATATGCCCGCTCCTAAGCCTCTTCCCATCTTGGAGCCATCAACCTATAAGGTAACACATTCAGTTCCCACAGACAGAAACTGTCGAGTTGCAGACCAAATCCGGTGGCCAACACGCACAGTATAGGAACTGCCGCCTTCGAGGGCAATAGCTCGGAGGTCGACCAGAACACAAGGTCAGCGAATGATCGCTACTGGCCGGATATCAAATGCTGACCCGGAAATTTGATTATGAGTTGGCCAGTCGGACTTCTTAGCCAAATTCTTGTTGACTTTCGTGCGAAGCCGTTCGGTTGGTAGGACCCATCGTTTAAGTAAAGTTCTCATTCGCTTTTTTCATGCTAAAGATCCTTGGAGTTGAAAATAGCTCCCACGACACAGTCGGAAAAAATATAACCCGCAGAGGTTAAAAAAAAGAAGAAGCTTGTCAGCTTTATTGGGCTGCATACATATTACTGATAAGATTAAACATAAGGGCCGCGCTGCCGACCGATAATCTAAGCTTAAAAGTGCACGAACCCTAGAAGAGGAGCGCGAACTAGCCGTCCATTAGCTTGCTTGGGGGGGGGTCCTGACGTGAACATTTAGTTAGATCAGTTATATCAGTTAGAAGAGTGGTCAGTAAATAGCGTGAATTAGGAATACAGAGGGACCCTATGCTGTGTTCGGGGTGAGGGAACTAGACTTTCAGGCATATGCAGTAGCGTGTGGTGGTGCTGATTGATTGGACGTCTTGCATCGGTCACCACTTGCCTTGGGAATGTTCGTGTGCCAAACAGTTGGAACAATAACATAGTTAGAATTTAGAATGACAAAATCGGGCTCGTAGGTTCAGGAGGAATCTAAACACTGGAGAAAAAGTCCTTGCGATGCAGCAAGGTGTGATGCCGTCTGCGGCATGTAAGGCAAGACTGAGCACCAGGGCACTTTCTTCGGACGATATCTGATCGCTCGAATACAGTCATTTCGAGGAAACGGGGACATATACGCACGGGGTGGTATTTCCTGGAACACAGGTAAACCTTCTGGATGCTGGAGATACCCTGACTTCGGAGGAAAGGAGGCAGCGCTCTAAAGGGTTCGCAGTCGCCGATCTTGGCTGAAAATGCCCTGAGCCGTTAGGCGTGACGTGGTCGATGGCCTTTATCGTACGATGGCGCTCGGTCAGAAACGCGTCTTGCTAGTTCCAAATTCGAATGTCTGCCTTATTATGGATAGATTGCTCCCACACGGAAAGCGTGAGTTTTGAAAGCTTGGAGAAATTCATATACACGAGGAGAGAGTCCCAAAAAAAAAGAAGACGTCTCTCAGGCGGTCAGCAACTTTGGATAGTTCTTTCAGAGCGACTCCGGACTCTCAAGGGGTTAGCCTGGCTGTTGAAAACAATTTTTAACTGACTGTTGAGCAACAACCGGCAATTCTCGAAGCGGTCGGTGAGGCTTCGCCAAGCTGAGACGAACATTTCATTGGTGAGCGGGGCTTTGGAACAATTTCCCCACCGGGGTGAGACTCAAGTTGTGAACATATATCATAGTAATTAGCGAAAACTTCGGTGTCCACTGGTTGTAGATGACAAGCCGCTGAAGTGGCTATGTGAAAATTGTCAGAAGTCTGTGTGGACTCGGAGGCGCCCTTTTTGAAGTTGAGATACACATCTTGACTACACGGAGTAGTAATCATTGTACTTAGATTCAGCCACTTTCGCGGTGGCCGTACTATCAGCGGACACGGAAAGAAGGTCCCTTTCCCTAAAGGCCCCAATCTGATCGC